ATAAAATATATACACACATATTTACTTTTTTCTTGGCGGTTAAGTGCTTCTGTTCTAGCAAAGCGTGTGCAGCGAGGAGATTGTTCACAGGAAGGTACATGGCCAGTTTTCAAAGGTAGGGCCAAATCCTTAGATTTATCCCAAGATAAACACGCAGAAGAGCCATGGAAGTGAATGGGAGTTGTCTCTGCATAGCTGCCGGCAGAATGCGGCCCTTCGAATTAATCACCGATGTGTAGGGTTTACAGCACCCCACCCTATTCCTGTCTGTATCCCTGCTTGTCGTCATAAATCTGACTGAAGAGTATTTGTGTTGTCTGTCTTCCAAGAAGGGCACAGCAAACATACTTGAACATGCTTCCTCTCCTGTTTGCTCGCTCCAACTGCAGTGCAAGGCAGTCCAAACCCGAGGGTAAAGTAAGCTCCTCTGGGGATGAGGATAACGAAGGTGAGTCACGCTCCGGGGCAAAGAGAGCCATGGCAGGATCTCATCAAATAATTTTCTACTCCCAGAAAAGTTTCTAAAAGACTCTGGATTACGATGCTGTGAATTAATGGGGTTGCCCATCCCGATGGCTCGGTGTCCTGGGAGGCGGTGACACAGCGCGGTGGCCAGTGGTGGCTTCCCCATGGGCGCGGGCAGGCGGCAACGGGCGCTGCCTTTGGTGGGGCTGGCGCTGGACCCGTCGTGAAATCCCCGCTTGGCTGTGTTAGCCCAGGCCTGGATCCCATCGGAGGGGTGGGAAGACGCAGGGGACCTGGCGGTGGCTGTGTTAATGTGGGATGTTAACGCCTGAGCCTTGGCTGGGCATTGCTCACCCCGATGTTTTCGATGCGGCGCCCGGCCCTGGCAGACAACACGTACACAACAACACGGGAGACGTGCGGTGTGCCTGCCTCTGACCTTCAGGAACCATTTTTAGTTCATCAAAATTAGTGATGCTGAGAAATCAGGACATCAGTGCATAATGACTGTGAAATTAGGAATGAGAGCTTGCTATGCAAATGACAGGACAAATCATGTGAAAAAGTCAAGATAAACTGCATATTAAGACATTATGTTACATAAAATTAATACTGCATTTCTCTCCTGCTTACTACTACAGGGGAAGATTTTTTTTCCAGCTCCTTTATCTTCTGATCAGCTATTGTCTGCTGATTTTTTAAAAAGTGGTGCACAGAAAAAGTGCTAAACATATTACTACCTTTTACTGTAATACATGAGATGACAGGAGATCCTTTTTAGCAAAGTATATCCTTTACTGCTTTTAGTTTTGTGCTGTCACGTATTTGATTTGAAACTATAGAAAAGTAAGGTGCTTCAGTATTACCGTGAAAACTCATAAGGGTTTTGTCTTTTCCTCTATTGTTTTTTTTTTCCTCCTTTTCTTTTTCTTTTTTGGGGTGGTGGGTAGAGGGGTGGGTTTCTAGGGAAATAGTCTTCTTGCATTACTAGGGCTGACAAAATGGTTCTCGTGTAGTCTGCAAATTAAACACAAGTGCAGTGATTATTTTGAATAGCTAAATTACATTCTAGAAAGCTTGCAGAATTCATAGCATTGTCATTAGGTATCCGCTTGAATACAATTTGTGTAACCTTGGCCAAGACAGCCTGTCATTTTAATGTCAGTGTTTTATCTGAACAAGACATCATCCTTTCAGATGCAGTGTACAGGTTCCTTGCAAAGATGCCCGTGCAGAAACGTGTTAACAGTTGCAAATATGAAATGCTATCAAGTTCATCACTGTAGCTGTTTGTCACCGAAATGTCATGGAAAGCGGCTTTTAATGGTATCTCACATAATATGAGAGAATTGAAGACATCTGTATGCTGGGTGAATATGGAATGGTAAAGACATCGTGGTAGGGCCTTTCTGTTCAAATTGCATGGAGCCTGGTGCTGGTACTCACATCGCTGAGCCTTCCTCCATTATCCTAAAAACCTGGGTCTAGATCCCCTCAGCGCGGGATACCCGGCTGGTGGATTTCTGTATGGAGGCAGAGGCTTTTGGGGAGGGAAAGGACCCGGTCGATGCTTTCTTGTGGAAATAACTACACTTGAACAGGGTTTACCGTATTGCGTGCTGTCAAGAATTCCCATTGCAATGATGTTTTGCAAAAGGGGAATTTAGTCACCAGGAAAATGTGGTCGGTACCTCTGTGCCTGCTGCGGTGGGCGGCGAGGGCTCTGGCCTCCAGGACCCTGCCGAAGGTGCAGGGATGGCAGGGGGCGCGTTGGGGCTGTGGCGATGCTCTCTGACCCCTCTTTGCTCTCTTGCACTGCAGGTCCCAGTGTCGGTGGCTATGATGACACCTCAAGTGATCACTCCCCAGCAAATGCAGCAGATCCTCCAGCAACAAGTGCTAACTCCCCAGCAGCTCCAAGTCCTGCTCCAGCAGCAGCAGGCACTCATGCTTCAACAGGTAATTGTTTCCTTAGCAGCCACTCAGGTGGCCCCTGCGGGTACCCGAGGGCTTCGCCTCCCAAAAAATGTTCCCGAGGAAAGAGGCTGCCACTCTCTGAGGTCGCACCTCGGAGCAGCCGTGCTCTGGGATGAACCGACTGCTCTTTTGTTTTTAATTCTGGAAATAGCTACTGGAAACACATCCAGGGAGCAGCGCTAGGAGTGTTTCCAAGATCAGCTAAATAACACAGATGCATATTTAAGTGTCAGGACTTCGGCAGATGTCCCTGTTGCTTTTTGCCTGCATCCCCCAGAAAGCGTGGTGTGCCCTGGCTGATCCAAGACAGCAGGGCAATACTTCCCACTTTAGACCTCGTTATGTCCACCTGGTGCTGCAAAGGACTGTGGGAAAGATGGCAGTAAAAGTGAAGAGCTTTGCAGGCTGATTTTTGCTGTGCACTGTTTCTCACAGCCCATGGTCCTTTTTCAGCTGAAAGTTGGCCACCGACAAGCCCCAAAGCTTTGTTACCATGGGGTATGGCACAGTGGGGGCTCACAAATTCCAGAGGGGTGTCAGCACCCACCCCGGCCCAGCTTTGCGTGCTCCCTTCTGCCCGTACCGCAGCCCTGCCTGCACGGGGAGGAGGAGAGGGTTTCCCGGGATGTCTGTGCATGTGTGGAACAACACTTCCTACAGACAAACCCTATCATTTAGAAAGCATGTGTGTTTCACAACAGAGATTCGCCAGGCTTTCTCAGCAAGGGCATTTTGGCTTTGTTGTTACAATCAAAGGTCATTCCTTGCCTTATTTTAATTAGTTTGTGTAGAAAATGGTATGTTTTTCATCAGTTCATTTTGGAGATTACTTTTCAAACGATAATGCCAAGAATAGTCAGTGTGCACTGAATTTATTGTCGAGTTTCAAACTAAAGGTCAGACCATTACAGATAAAAGGATGCTATTTTTCAAATCACAGTTTGTGTATTACACCAAAAGGGACACTGAATTGGCTCTCCACTTTGTTACTTACCATCTTTCCTTTTCTTTGTAGCAGCAGCTTCAAGAGTTTTATAAGAAACAACAGGAACAGTTGCAGCTTCAACTTTTACAGCAACAACATGCTGGAAAACAGCCTAAAGAGGTACAGACAATACCCATTTTACTCTCAAACCGCGGATCCCCGGGGACTGTCTAGTGGCTATTAAACTGTCATTCATCTTATAAATGATTGCACAACTGAGCTGACTCTATCGGGTCTCAGCTTTCAGATGGAGAGTTATTGTCCTGTTTTCCCCCCGTATTTTCCTCTGCTTTCCATTTGCTTGCTGCCACATATTTTATAGCAGGGGCCTGTGCCTTGGTGTTCGGTGTGAGTGCTGGAGCGAGCATCTCGACTTGTATCTGGGGAGAGCACTTTCTGGGAGTTAGTTATGTTGTGAAGGGGAGGGGGCAAGGCAGCAGGCCCAGGTACGGCGCTGGGCTCTCAGACCAGTACAAAACGCTGCGAGACGGTGAGTTTGGGCTTGCAGTTTGCAACTGGAGAGGTTCTGGTTGCTTGTTCCTCTCAGCATGGGGTTAACAGGAGGGACCGCGCTGGGGCAGCATCAGTGGCAGCACCGAGATGCAGAGGTGACGTGATGGCAGGGGACATTGCTCTGGTGCCACTGTGGTTCAGGCCAGGCCAGGGAGGTTTCTACCCATCCTTAAAATACGCTTTCCTTTCAAAATACCTATCACATCCTAAACTTTGTTGGCTTTGGTGTGCTTAGATGTGATTTTACTGTAATGACGCTTATTTTAAGGTGCCGGGGTCACCCCTCTGGTCTCAAGGAGTTTGAGACTCCCGTGTTTAATCTGCCATGGGCGCAGGCTCAGGTGGATCCTAGAAAGCCGCCTCTCGCGGTGTGATGTCCTGCGATAGCGGCAGAGCTCGTGCGTCACTTTGCGAGTGGCGCCGCTCGCAGCGCGCACCAATTCCCACCCGCGCCCCCCGTGTCCCCCCCGCCTTGAAATTTCGGCAAATGGTGCCACCTTGCCAAGTTTTCAACCCAGAGTGAATTTTTCCAGCTGAGTTATAAACCCCTGCAAATAGGGGGGTTTATAATGGAAACGCTGACACAACCTTAACCATGGCGCGCTTACGGGCGCCACTATAATAAAAAGGGAACAGATTAAAAAGTGTCTAAAATGTAAATCTAAAGGACTAACAGTAATTAAAATGGAAATGGCACAGGGAGGGAAGGCATGTAATTGTGAGATATCACTGTGCAGAATGCTCTCAGCTTTGTTTTGCTGGCTGTTTTTCTAATTCAGTAGGGCTTACTCATCAGTGGCAGTTCAATGCGCGTTAATGACTCTGGGATGCAGGCATCACTCTGGACAAAGAAATGATTATTGTGCGGTCAAAAGAAGTTCAAAGACAAGAAGGGAATTTCAGTTTTTTCCTTGGAGATCCACATTCAAGAGCATATAAATTAAGCCAAATGTTAAAAACCACAGTCTGAAAGCTGACTTCAAAGTCACAACTCTCTAATTAATGAACTGCGAGCTTCAGTTTGGACAAGTCGTGGTTTGATGCGCCCATAAATCAACATGACAGGTCTGTTTCACAGCCTCAGACAGCGCTTGTCATTGAGTCACATCAGATGTAAACACAGCAGAAAAAAGAGGGAATATGAAGGAGGTGCAATTGATCAACAGAATTGGTAAAAACCCACTTTTGAAACGCATTATGCATGATCACAGGAAATGGCGATAGCCTCAAGAGGCTTTCTCCTTCTGCTGTTGCTTTTTTGAATCAGATTTCTAACAGCCTTCAAAAGGGAGAATAAGAATTATGGAGCTTCTCCCCTGTGGCTGGCAGGCAATAACCCCCTGTTGTTATTTTGTGCTTCTTTCTTTTCAAAGGCGTCAAAATTTAGTTTTTTAAAGATCTTTAACTCTATATTTGAAGACAAACAATAAAGGGCTGCCACTGTCATTCTTATCAGTTACCAGGGATTGTATTTTTTCTTTCTGTTGCCACTTCTTATTAACCTCTTATTTGGTCTATTAGACATAGTTTTGAATGCAAGCCTGCATGCTGGGAGAACATGAAAGTTCAGATGAGCTCAGAGGGCAGATAAAGAAATTTGAAGGGGAAAGTTACACAGCAGAATGAACGATAAAAGTTAACTCTTCTAAATTGCTGTTGTCAGACAGGAGAGCATCTCAGACACAAAGATGAGGGCTTGGAGCTTAAAGGAAAAAATACTTTGTGTTAAAAACGACGAGAAGGGAAGTGAGACAATGTGGTGGCATTTCAGTGTCTAACACCCTGATTTACTGTGCTCACACTTCTGATATTACACTGTCGAAAGCAACAATAAGAAAGGGCTCCTTCCTGTTTCAAGAAGAGCATTTTAACACTGGAGCTGGTAGGAGAATGAGGGGCCTGAGTCCTTTCAGCTTTCTTAGGGTTTTTTGGGGATGTTTTTGCTGATGGCTTCAGCAGAGGCCCGTTCCAAGGATGCATTTCATCCCATGGGTCTGTTCAGCCCCATTTTTCCTGCCTTAAAGAGGTGGTTCTTGCTAAATCAGCATGCAGGCCATGGCCTTTTATGGTTTTTATTTATTTACCCCTCACTCCCGTACAAAAAAACTGGCTGTCAGGGCACATGGCAAGCAGTGCCGTGGTGGGGACCGTGGCTGCCGCATTGGTGCCTTGGCAGAGGGAAGAGGCTCATTCACATCTTGTGTCCCCCAAATGGTTCTGTCAGCCCCTGCTCCAATGTACCCTTGTAAAAGAGGAAAACACAACAGATCCCTCAAGCCCCGCTGGTAAAAGGGATGTGACCCCCCAAGCAGGATAGCAGACGGATCCCAGTATGGTTTCTGTGGTGTTACTCAAGGGTTGCACGCTGTAGCAGAGGCTGAGCAGTGCCCGTGCTCGATGGCAAGAGGTGCCAGGGTGAGATCTCAGCCCTGTGCCCCTGGCAAAGTGAGGGCTCCCCAAGGCAAAGGGGGGTGTTGGAGAGGGATCCCGCTCACGCTGGATGGAGCGGGTTGTTTTCGGAGCAGGGCCGTTTGTCCTCGGGCAGTTGTGACAGTTTATGTTAGGCAGTAGGGAGTAACCGAAGAAAGGAAAACAGACCTTTGACAGCAGCTTTAGGGAGGGGATCAAAAATGCAAGTTTTATCAGGATATTTCAGCATTTTAACGCTGACTACTGACCTGACAACAGGACTGCACCGAGACCTTTTTTGTATGCATTCAATTGTGAGAAGTAAACAAACTGCCTTGTATCCTGTGTTTGGTAACTGGGTGGGGAGCGCAGTTTGGCAACGGGTCTTGCTTTTAAATTCTTTCTTGGACAATGGGCCTTGTATACTTTTATATCCTGGCTTTTCAAAGTAGGGAGCGTTCAAGAGCTTTTCTTAGGATAGCTGAGAAGACAACCAAGCGGGCATCAGTCAATTTGTGTAAAGGGTTTTTAAAAAAAGAATAGTGCTAACTTTACACTCAGATGGCAAATAGGTAAAAGCCAGCTTATTGTAACTGGATTTTTACATAGTACCATTATATAGAAAAATATATATTAATGGATATATAAAAATTAATATTTATGGAAGCAAACATTGACTGTTGCTGGGACTTGCTGTTGCAAACAGCTGAACGAGTGGATCTGTCTGAGCAAGCAAAGAAATGAAAACTCTCCGAGTTTCAGAATATCCCAACACAGATTCATTTAGCTGTGTTCTTGAAGTCCTAGGTTTTCTTTGGAAATAAAGACAAATTGACTTTATAAATAAGAGGAGTAGACTGTCAGTGCAGCCGTGGGGTGCAGTTGGTTGCAGTGCTAAGGGCGATGGTGGGAGCTGAGCCCTGTTGGGTGTCCGTGGGTCCGGCCCCTGCAGCCCCGGGGGTTTTTTCCCCACTCCACGCCATCAGGGAACGGGGCCAGGGCTCCTCTGGCTCGGTGTCAAGGGACGGTGACAAAAACCTTGGAGTCTGGCTGGGGTTTGTTTGTGAAAGTGCAGAGTTTTGCAAGAGTTAAATTTTCTTTCCGTAATTGTTAGCCATAATGTGTGTAAGACCTCCACCTTGATACGATTCCTAGCAGATTAGGGATATTAGATAATTTCCTTCTATTTATTGTACCACTGCGCCGTATTATCTTTCTATCACTCAGATAATTACTAAGGAAATCTACATTAATTTTTTTTGGCTAGCACAAGGAACTGCTAAACACTGGCATGATGTATTGATGTTTTACACAACAAAAGTTTTCCTCCTGTCATTGTACAATAAATAAAAAGATATTTATCAAAACGCAAAGCCTTTCATGGATTTTAAAGAACAAAGCAAATAAAACACAAGATGAGCATGGAAGCAAAACCTAGAGGCTTCCTTAACTGAACAGAATTAAGGACTCTGAAGCCTGGAGTACTGTACACATTAAACACTCACATTCAAGTAAGATGTTGTTTGCTAAATTATGAATGTGTGTAATTAAAATCTAGTGGCTGTTTCTATGAAAGATTTACAATGTTATTTCATCGTTTGTCATGGCTAATTAACAATATTAGATGAAGTTTTTCTTCTTCAAAGGTCTGATTTTTTCTCATTTATTTATGTCAGAAGTGATAAACAGAGTAGTTAAAAGCTTCTCCGGGTACAGCAGTGAGAAAAGCAACATGTTCTCTTACACCTCGAAGGTTCAGGGTTCACGTCCCTGTGGAGTAAAGCAACTCCATCTTCCTTCTAGTGAGAATAATTAAAATTTTCAAAGTGCAGAACTAGCAGCCTTAAATACAGCACGGAATAATTCTGAACAAGTATGGTGGGGCTTGATGGATGAGTAGGAGAGAGTAAGTATAAAATGCCATAAAAGAAGCCAGTTGTATTGCCTTAGTAATTGAGACAGCCCTTGCATGAGCAAACAGTGTGGGGTTGTTCTCCGTTAGGGCTGGGTACGATGTGATGGGGTGGTGCGATTCTCACGTTGTACCTTTCTTTGCCTCAAAAGTGACCCAGGATGTTCACCGCTTTTGGCAGCGGTTGGTTTGCCCCCCACTGCAACACGGCCCCGTGGAGCAGTGTGGGGTGGTGGTGTGGGCCAGGAAACACCACATGCATTTTGATGAGGGTGGCAGGGGGGATATAGGTGGATGAAAGTCTCCACTGGAGGTGCAAATCGACTGCAGCCCCGTGGTTAGCTCCAGCACCTAAGTGTGCCTCGGGGTCTTTGACAGGGGGTGGTGGGCTCACCTCGATACCGGTTGCAGACAGGAGTTAGTGTGTTGAGAAAAGGAGCCTCATAAATCTCTGTTACTGCTTTTGACAAACGCGCATTGTTTGTGATTTTGTTCTTTTCCAGCCCCAGCAGCAGCAGGTGGCTACGCAGCAGTTGGCCTTTCAGCAGCAGCTCCTACAGATGCAGCAGTTGCAGCAGCAGCACCTCCTGTCTTTGCAGCGTCAGGGGCTGCTGACGATCCAGCCTGGCCAGCCTACTCTGCCCTTGCAACCCCTTGCACAAGGTAGGTGAAGGGTTTGGGAGCTGGCAAAGCAACAGCACACACACACACACACACACACACACACACACACACACACAGAGCTGTCACTAAGGAAGAGAAAGATATCTCAGAAAAAATCCCAGAAAAACCCTGACAGACAGGGTGGGCGTTATAAAGATCATTTTTGAGAAGGGCAGCTCTGAAATCGTGGACCACTCTGGCTAGGGAGGCAGACAGTTTGGAGTTTGGACTCAGTTTGCACAAATATAGCTGGTGTGGCGAGTTAGAAGCTGCTGCTTGTACTAATCTGAGCTTGAAATCCTTCACAGGAGGCGTCCTAATCGATTCTTGGTGCTGGGTTCATGGCTAAGGATAGGGAGAGCGCAGCTTTTCCTTATTTAATGTGCCATTTGGGCCCGTTCTGGTTGCAGCCTGGCGCAGAGGAGCTCTGATCTGTGCTGCCACACTGTAGAAATCTGATTGCCCTTTGCTGCGGCTGAGAGGGAGAGGTGTCAGCATCTCCTCTCCATGCCTGTTTACACGGCCTGCATTTCACAGCTTCATTCCTCCCTCTACACTGCGGCGAATTGGAATTAACTCCGTTTAATTTTAATGGTGTTATTGACAATTAGATCCTCCTACATCTTCATTCGCTCTGCAAGAAGTCACTCCTTTCCCGAAATCCCTGTTTGTTTATCGTTTTAAAGCTACCGATACACTGAAGGCAACAACTACTTAGATCACAGTACTTTTGACAGTGATCATAACCTGGGGTTTTTATTCTCCCTTTTCGTCTTTCACCTGAATTTGTTTTTATTTTAAACTGAGTTTGTCTGCAAGCCTTGGGACTACTTTACCAGCCTTGCCTTGGTGATGAAGGCAGATTGCTCAAACTTGGCGTGGCTCAGGGAGGACCAGACCTTTCAACCACGATGCTGGTATTTCTGAATAATCATGCTTTTTCCTTCCCTTGCCCCGTAATAAATTTAAACATCTGCCTCAACAACTTGAGTCAGCTCAGGTTGAATGATTTGGGCTCTTCCAAACAGCCTTAGGGCTGCTACTGGTTGCTGAGCCCTATAACGAGTTTACATTCAGGTCAGTTAAATGGGGGGAACTACTGGTTGCTGAGCCCTATAACGAGTTTACGTTCAGCTCAGTTAAGTGGGGGGAGACAGGACAAAATTACTTCTGTTTTTTACCCTCCTTTTTTGTGTGTAGCTGCCAAAAGGAGAGTGAGGTGGCCAGTGAATATTGGTGTTTTTGGGGACCTGACACTGTCCCCTGCAAGGCTGGGTTAGGCTTTACGGTACCCAGAGCTGGGCACCCATGGGCCTGGCTGGGAGCTGCAGGACCAGGCTGGGGGGCAGTGGTCGGGCACCAGTGATGCTTGGTGTGATGGGGAGAAGACACAAAGCGAGTCCAGGAAGAAGGGCATGTAGACAAAATGCCATCTATACTTGCCAAATGTTGTAACGTGCATTAATTACACTCCAGATTTATTGTTGGAAGCATCCCAGGCTGTTCCCACACCCCCACCGGACTCCAGCTTCAACCTTTCTAATTTTTCCCACAGCTCCTATACCATTAAGTTGGCTCGGTAAGGTTCATTGTACAGTACATCAGTTAAGCTGTCCAAAGGAGGGCAATTGGGCAGTGACAAGACACGCTCATGTGTAATGCGAAAGAAATGAATGTGGTGATGCATGAAGTGTAATCTGTGCGGTAACACGTCGGAGACACCAGTAGGTAATTCAGCAGTCGTGGCATTGATTGATATGGTTAGCAGGGCAGTGTAACTATTAGTCCCCGCAAAGGAGCCTGTTTCAAACCAAAGGGGTGCCGGCATGCGCGCCAGAGACGACAGCGACATGAGCAGGAAGGGCTGGTTCTGATGGGGGCGGCTGGAGCTGGGGTCGGCGGCAGGAGGACGGAGCAACCTGAGAATTGGGCAGGTTGTGGTACAGCAGTGGTGTCTTATTTTTTTTTATCAGAGAGACGATGGCTTAAAACTGATGTCATTATGAGGTTTAAATCAACTTTCTGCTTGCTTGAACATGGTCACCTGGGTATGGAGGTACAAGGACACAAAGAGGTTGAGCAACTCTGTTTGTCTTTGAGCCGGTGATACCTGGGGTTGGGAAATTGAGTTCCACGAGCAGTCATCTGTCACCTGTCCCCACAACATACATTTTTTAAACCTGCGCCTACATTTTCTTTCATAATGAAGGGGACTCGTTGTCCTGAAAAATGCAATGAAGAGCCAGGGCTATAGTTTAAAATAATTGGTAATGGACACTTCTTATTTAAAAAAAAAATGACATCTATCACGCCCTTTTGTTTTCAGAACGGTTTGCGAGACTGAGACAAATACTGTAAATGTGATATTAAAAAAAAGTAAAATCATCCCTCTGGTAAATGCAGCTATGAATTTGGTTACGAGCATTTTGCTTTTATTCTTAAGTATCTGTAATAGTAATAAATGTTTCTAAGGAGAGAATGCTACTTCAGAAGTGATTTTTTTAATGTTTTTAGAACTAATACATTGTTTAAAGCTGTATTTTAGTTTCATTTTAGGTTTTAGTGCTCGCCTATTGTCTTACACAAAATAGCACATCCTTTAATGCTATATTTGTGTAATCCTTGCCGCTTTGTATTTAGACACGTCTATAATCTCGATTTTACATCTGTACGTAGTGGCAATTTAAAAATAAACCGCATTTCAGCAGTGTTCCGAGCTGCAAGAGATCTTTAGCATCTGCAAAATGAGACTGCAGATCGCACTTCAGATCAGCAGTGGGTGAAAATAACGGGACTGAGACGTCTGGGTGCCCGATGGCTCCCGCGGGTTGGGCAGTTTCGGGTCTGGATCCCGTTCCGGGTACAGAGGAAGTCGCGGCCCCGGCAGCAGCGATCTCGGGTAATGGCAGCGCAGTTCTGGGAATCCGGCTTAAAATTTAGCTCTGGCTGTTAAAACGAAACTGTTAAATGGCAAATTGCATAATTTATTGCGAGTGTTCGTGGGTCTATTTGACTTGCTTTTACCATTTGTTCTGTTATTTTATTTAACCATTTTGCCGAATGAGTAATGAGCAGACCTTTCAGCTGCCCAGCTTGACAGGCTGGTTAGAAATTCTCCCCAGAATCATTCGAAAAGATCTATATTTAGGGAAGGGTTTTTTTAAATTTTATTTATTAATCAAGTGATGTCAATGATGTGGTCACTCTGAAGCGATGGGTTTTGTGCAGATGTCTGTGACATCACAGTTAACCCTTTAAATTCATGTCACCCAGCTCAAAATCATCATCCTTATCTCCAGCACTTCCCCCTTGCACGCAATTGGGTGTATCTTATTTTTATTTCAACATGTGGCATAGTTGTTAGTGTTAATATGAGTTACACTTGTATAGGAAGTTAGACCAAACCCCTTGGCTTTTATAGAGGATGTGCAGCGAGGTATCAGTATTGTGTGTATATTTATTTTAATGGCTGTAGCACTCGCATGCCTTTCCTTGGGATAAAGCATTGGTAGATCCAAGAATGACCGGGAAGAGAGGAGAGTGGGTGCCAGCCTGTCTCTAATTATAAACCTGCGGAAATCTGGGTAAGGCAAAAAACAAGGGCAAAAAAAGAAAATAATAAATAAATAAAAGTCAGTTATTCTTTCCCTGTTTGCTTATTCTGGAAAATAAAGGTAGGTGTCGACTCCTGGGTCCCGTACCGATATGTTCTCATCACCAGACAAGTCTGTTCACCGTTGTTTCAGTGGAGTACGCAGGGTGCGAGGGTCAGGCGCGCTGCAGGTAATTGTGGTGCGCAGACAGCCCTGTCAGGCGCTGTAAAAATGCATGCCGCGCTGTCACCTCGCAAGGTGTTTGAAAATAATAGCCCCGGTATGGGAAAACAGGACACCGGCTTGTGTACTGACCTTTCTCTTTGTTTAATTCGCTCAGAGGTTTGATTTCAGGGGACAAGTAATAATTGAATATGCCTAATAACTAAATGCTCATCTGGGACAGAATCCATCAAAATATAATTGGCATTTGGGCCTGATGAAAGGAAAATGACGTGGCTGTGGAGAGGCGGATGTGTCCTAAGAATATCTGATCGCTTAATGTATAAATTGAAGCCTCTCTCATAATATATATTAATTGCAGATACTTAAGGATTGTAGCATTTTTTGTAGTGAACCGTTACCAGAGACCAACTGTTTTTGTTAATGCTACTCTCGGAAAGGCGGGGAAGGTTATTGGTCTGTCGTGCAATAATTTACTCCTCTTTGATATGCAAACGATCCACGGTGAATATAAAAAAATCCTATCAGACTCATTTCACAGTTCTTAACCACTTAGATTCTCTGGAGTCTATCGCCTCATTAGACCAGTGCTCTCCAAAGCTGGCATAATTAAAATCTTTAACAGTTTAGCAAAGTAAAGATGTTTGGCTGATCACGTTGAGATGATTATCTATCCATTGTATTCTAAATGACAAAAATAAATTAAATTTAGACCTTGGCATTTTTTATTATGTGTTTCAAATGAATATAATGCACACTGCCTCTCTTTTTTTTATTATTATTATTTCAGTACCTTCGGTTTGGTGTGCGAGCTGCTGCTGTGCGCTCAGCAAATGGCAGGTTTCCTTCGGATGGTGCTGAGACAATGAACCACCATCCCCACGCTGCTCTGGGAGCACAGCGATGGGAAACCTCCTTAAAAACACACGCGCTGCCTTTTATTATCGTTTTTGCCCTGAATTTTTAAGTGATGCGTCTCTACCGCTGATTTTTTCCAGTGGCCTTCTCTGAGGGAGCTCTGGAATAGGCTTCAATGAGAGGAATCTGATGGGTTTGATGACGTCAAATCAGGCTTTATCCAGACAACCACGTCACACTGAGGCGCTCGGTCCCCTTCAAGCCATCGCTTTGGAGTTTGCAGAGTTTCCACTGGCCGTGCTTGGTGGATGTGGTGTCCTAGGCCTGGTGTCCATTTGGGCACAATGGAAAAAACACTTTATTTTTATTATTATTGTTATTTCTCAAAGCTTATTTTATGTTTTCGTTTTACTTTTGAATGGCTCATTAGCATCGATCTAAGAAATGACAGTAATAATAGTGTTACTTGTATAGAAAGTTACACAGTTTTTCAGTAGACACATCCATCAATTAAGTGAGCAGTTCGAGAAACCAAAATTAATGAGAAAGATAGGTGTGTTAATGAAATAATCATAGTATAATCAATTTGACTGTTAAAATTTGAAAAGCATTTCAGGAAGACAATATGAATTCATAATTTATGTCTAAAAGTGATTAATAAAAACTGTATTTAATAACAAAGCTATTTGTCATCATTTAAAACTTAAGCACAAAATTAGTCACATTGTGGTTCCTGTTGTCATAATAATAAAGCTGAGGGTTGTTTTTTTTTTCCAAAGACCTTCCTTTCATTTAAAAACAGGTTAGGAAGTACTCACTTGCCTTAAAATAAATAATTAAAATAAGTAGTAGGTTTTTACAAAGTTTAATTTCTAGCCCGTGAACACCTTCACTGTCAGCCTTTCTGTGAGCTTGGGACTCTGTAATTTTAATTACAAGAAATAACAGTAATGAACATGGGGTTTGAGGTGGGGGTCCTGTTGTGTGGACCCCCCTGCCCCACACATTTTACATTACATTGGTATAACAGGCGTTAACCAGAGAATCCAGCAGAGACATGTGGTGCTCAGCGCTAGGCTTGAGTTATTAATACAAAAATACATGCACAAAAACACACACACACACACACACACACACACACACACACACAAAACTAACACTCGGCTTTGTTTACTGACTCTCTGATTTAATTACTGTTTGAAGACGGCCGAATTAGCTGTTAATTGATTTAATTATCCAATTTGTTTGTTGCAGGCATGATTCCAACAGAGCTGCAGCAGCTCTGGAAGGAAGTGACGGGCTCGCACACGGCGGAGGAGGCCGCCAGCAACAACCACAGCAGCCTGGACCTGTCCGCCACCTGCGTCTCCTCCTCCGCGCCCTCAAAGACCTCCTTAATCCTCAACCCGCACGCCTCCACTAACGGACAGCTATCGGTCCACACTCCGAAACGGGAGAGGTAGGTGCCCGTGGGGTTTCCACCCATGAGCGTCTCGAAACGATGGCCAAATTGTTGGGAGCGGTGGCCAACCGCCCTGGCCTGGGTTTTGTCCTTTGCGTCTCGCTCGGGCTGGTTTTGGCGGGGGTGAATGGAGTCTCCATTGGGCAGAATGTGCTCCTTTTGTTCAGATCTTTATGGCCTGTTAATTGGATCAATGCGGGCACAATTAGCTAATTAGGAGTGCATTGGATAAGCGTGTTGGGGAAGTATGAAGAGCGTGAGCTGGTGTTTTTGAGTTTCGCATCCTGGGTGGTGTTGCTCTTGATGGGCTTTGAGCGCGCAGGGTGGAGGTGAGGAAAACAATCTGTGGTCAGGACAGGCTGTTTTACCACTGCTTTTTCTGCCAAATTTCAATGCCCCATCTCATCTAACACGTTTGCCTTGTTTTACTCTGTATTTACCTGCTTTCACAAGACAGGATAGGCTGGAGTTCACCGGGTTTCTCTAAAACAAAGCGGGTGTTTTTAAGTGCTGATAAAATTAGCTAACTGGTGTTGTTTGGCTTTTAAAAGCATGAGTTAATTTATACTTGCTAGGCTCGCATTGTTAAAAGAAATGGCTTAAATCAGGGGTTGTCTGTTGACGTGCCTCTCGGTGCGGGCTCTGCTTTCTTCCAGAGGATGCTTTATTGCGGGTTTGTTTCTTTACATCCCCAGATCTCACTGAGGCGTGTCTAGCAACATAACTTTTGCTTACCGTGAGATAAGATGGGCCCAGGAGCTGAGGCTGTGGGTGCCACCGCCTGCTGCAGCCTCAGCATCGCTGAGGAGGAGGAGGAAGGGTCTCTGGGAGCAGGAGCAGCGTGGGTGCAGCGGGGAGGGCAGTGGTACTTTGCATTCAGGAGAGTCCCTTTCCCCATCGAGAAACGTTACGGCAGACACGAGCGAGAGCTGGGCTTTATGGAAACTGATGGCTTTGTCTTTCCGTGCTCCTTTCATTCATTAGAAAGAGGATAATGGAATTTTTAAGCCATAGAGTTTATATTTCTGATGGTCTGAAAGTAGATTGATAGGGAAGCTGTATAAATACCTCTTACATCTTTCCGATATTAAGAAAATAGTGCTGTTGGGAATAGATAGGTTTTAAAGGAGAGCACACCCACCGCTGAAAGAAGTGCTGTGTGTGTAAGGCGTCATTTTATATCCATCGCAAGGACGTGTGGGGGAACATCGGCAAATACATTTATAATGCATGCGAGTGTCAAGGACAGGGTTTTCATGAAGACTTACATGGGATACTTAAAACAATTGGATGTTTATTAAACAATTAAATTCCCTTTTGCTGCATATAGGGCTGAACAAGATGAGTTTGAGTTTTCAATAAATTTTTTATCTGTGTTTTTCTTACCAAGTATATAAAACAAAAACCCTTGCAGTGAAATGGATCTCCTTTCACTGCAGACAGGCAGGTGCTGGCTGCTAATGGCAGTCTGACCGAGGACACACTGTGCCGCTGCTGTTCAGTTTGAAACGCGGCAGCAATACAGGAATCTGTTCTGATGTGAGGATCTTCTCTATGTCCACTGTCGATCAGAACTGGAAATCGATGTGTCTGGGTCCTGTAATTGTGGCCTGGAGGTAACTGGGACCTATAAGGAAGGCAATACCCGTGTTTCAGTAGTAAAGTTCCAAATAAATTAAGTAGGAAGGCATAAACATGCTGTGGTATCATTTGAGACCCTATGGGTTAGAAAACTTAAAATCCTCAGTGGTTGAATTGACAGCTGTGTTGTTAAAACTTGCCGTAATACTTTCCTTGCGCATCTACCGAGTTCTCTACCGAAATGCAAAAATTGGTATATTTAGGAATACAAATAAGAGAGCTACAGCCTTGGTTTTATCTTGCCTCTGCTTGGTACATCAAGGTTTACGCCATCCATTTGCCGCAGTGATTGAATTACATCTCTGTCCGTAAGTAGAGCAGGAGACTCCGCACAGGAGAATGCCCACTGATGCACTTAAGGGTTTTGTTGCAGTCTCATCAGGCACCGTGGTGCCTGCCTGGATTTCATGTGACACAGAAACTCCTCTGGCTGAGATGCGTTGCGCTGGCTTCCTTTCTAGAAGGGAATTTATCTGCGGGCAGGGTGCTCGGGGCGGTGAGGAAAGAGGAGCTGTTCTCTGCTGTCAGATTTATACTGGAAAGCCCTCAGAAGGTGAAATTTTAGCATACTTTAAAAAGAGAGAGCGCAGGCACGTGCAGGGGTTTGGTTGCTTTTTGATTGCAAAGGTTATAACTAGAAAGAAATCCCAGGTCTGGCTGGAGCGTGGCTCTGCTGGACTTGGAGTGAAATCCCTGTTCATTCTTGCTCCCAGCTGGTTTACCACAGCTCAGCTTGCAAATCCAAGGGGGCCTGTGGAGGTGGTCCCTAACCACCAAGGGGGCTGTGGGAAGGGCTCGTGTGGGAGGTACCGGCCCTGCCACCTCCCATCACACAAGTCCACGGATTGGGCTGGCCAGGGCAGGTTTTTTGGGTTGTGGCTCTTTCATTCTGCCCCTTCTGTGCAACTGGCTGTTAGCTTTGGCCTGATACAACCAAGAGCTGTTTAGTTAGATTTAAACAACAATAAAAAGCACATAGTAAAAGCTGTAAGTGTCCTAACAGTTAAGCACAGCCACATCATAACGACTGCCCAGCAGCCATAAATAATCATATCCAGGTAACATTAACTTTTAGGGTGTGCTGTAAAGCTGTTTCCCCCCCTTCCTCTTGGGCTTTTGAGAAGGGAGTGGGCTGCAAGAGGCAGGTTGGTTATGTGGGAGTTACTATCATCGCTGGCACATGTAATGGGATAGTTTGGGCCGGGCTTTATGGGGCTCCTGATCCCACAGGTCAAGTTGCGAGGCCGCTCGAGACCCACAAGATGGGAGGCGCTCGGCCGCCTGCAGCGGGGGCACCTGCCCAAAAGTCATTGGGGGAGCGGCAGCTCTGCCGGATGCCTTGGGTTAAAGCACGTTTTGGTTGCAAACACGGGGTTTAAAAATAGCAGGAGAAATAGCCAGGGGCTGTTCCGTGTGCCCGTGCGTTGCTGTGCCACGAGCCCAGGTTGTGCTCAGGGAAGCTTTGGTCCTGCATGGGCTGCAGGGATGCGGTGCTGGTGTCGGTGGTGATGCTGTGGGGCTGTAAGTGATGACAGAAGCTTTCCTGTATGGCAAAAAGGCAGGGGGGTGTCCAGAGCCACCCCAGGACGCTTGAAAAGCAAAACTGAGCTCAAAAGCAGGAGGCAGCCTCTGCTCCTGGGCAGGGAGCATCGTGGTGCTGCTCTGGGTTCTGCGTGGCTTTCATAGGAATGAAACAATCCTAGCCATAAATAAGGGGTTAATGCTTTCATTCACTTGGGCTTTAAATGTATATTACATCTATGCTTTTGTCCCGCATTTCTCCCAGTTTCTGTAAGTAGCAGCAGCAGCAGCTCTGGGGTTTGGTGCACAGCAATCTGTTAAGGAGATAAATAATCTGCTTTGGCATGACACTCCTACTCTCCTCTTTAATTTGTCTTACACAAGGAAAATTATAATTAAATCATTCAGGGTAAACCCTTGAGTGTAGAGAAGGAAAAAACACACTTTGGTAAAGATTGCCAATAGAGACCAACTTCCCTGTTGTGCTGTGCAGAGACATTTATCAATATTCAGCACTATTAAAGAGAGAACATTTCGTGTGATTTGTGAGGCGGATGCCAAAGCTCAAATCAAGGCTTGTTAAGATCCTTTCCCCATGCAATCATGGGCATTCAGCATCATTAGAATTCAGCACTGACTGTGTGTTTCATGCTTTGATTTTACTCAGACAATTTAATAATGTTTATTGTGCTGATTATATATATAAATTCACTCAATGCAATAAACATACCTCAGTCATCAGTACCCTAAGGGAAATATTTAGTTATAGATACTTGTATTCACTCAGGATAAGCGAAAGTGAGACCATCAACCAGCATGCAAACCGCTCATCATCTTATCAGCATTTGGGTTTCTTCCATAACGAG